GCATGTGCACACAGCCAGAAATAGCAAAAGGCTGGAAACCTCCAGGGATGTAAAGGGGAAGGGAAACCCCATGTAGATAACAAGCTCTCTGTGGCTCTAGCTGTTTTCCAGTTGGCCGACTCATGCTTCCAAATAACTTCTGAGGTGAACCGAAGAGAAACCTTTGCAGTAGTTAAGAAACCTTTTCCCTCTACAGCCCTAATGCTAAGAGAGCAGAACTGTCATCAATGGAAATGCCACATGAGGCCATAGCCTTTAAATCACCTTCCTGCTACAGAGTCAGGCTATTGGCTTCTACTTAAACACTGTGATGTGTTTATATTGCTTTGATTAGTTAGACTTCCTGTGTTTTTTTGACCATCCATAGGATTGTGATGATAAAACTCCTGGTTAAAAGATGTCAAGTCTTTGTAAGGCATTTTTTTTTTTGTCATCAGAGAGACATGTTTTCCAGCCTGGAAAACAAACATCTTGCTTTAGCCTGTGTTTCTTTTCAGTAAACGTTAAGGAGGCTCAACAGGCTGCTGGTAGGTAATTCTGAGAGAACTCCTACACGCCTGTTTACTGGAAGATGTGTGCACATATGCAAACAGGCATATGCACATGTTTGTGTGTGTGTATATATATATGTGTGTGTATATATATATGTATATATGTATATATATATAGTGCATAGGCACATTATTCACTCAATCTGCATTTAATATATGTGTATATATATATACACACACTCTTTTTTTAAAATCACCGACTACTATCCGTTGTCGGAATATGGGCTAGGTGCGTCCTTTGGCCGTATCTGAAGGAAGAGGTTGTTCTGATGCCCTCTCCTCCTTGGCCACAGTGTACAAGAGAGGCAGGGAAGGCTGCTGCGGTGCTCGTGTTGCTCGTGTCCCTCTGCCCCCTCGCTCTTCCCTGCCTTGCTCTCGCTCCGTGCTTGCATATCGCTCGGTCAATGGATCTTGCTCCTAATCCTCCTGGGAGAGCGTGGAATACTGTGTGTGCTATTATTGCTACTAAAGGCTTAATTAATTTTCATCTACCAGCATTATTGCTTAAGGCTTTTCCACTGTTTTTTTTCTTTTTTTTTTTTTTCTTTTTTTGCATGTATTTCTTTCAAAGGAAAATTCTATTGATGCGTACTGGAGTATAACACTAGAAAATGGGACATATCAGAACGTACCCAAATGACCTTTGCAGTGCCAGCATTACAGCAGCAGGTGACAGAGCAGGGGATGAGGTTGGTTCCTGATGGATGAGACTGACAGGCTTTAACTACTTGGGACTCCCTCCTCACTCCGAGGCAAATGGTTGTACCATGCAACACTATGTCCTGCAGCTTTCCCTTTTTATCCTCACCGTTGTAGGAGCTTAAATAAATGCTTGGCATGAGAAACAAATGCACCCCACAAAGATTTAGAAATAAAATCATTTATCTGCTTAGCAGAAAGAGCGTTGGATTTGGCCTTCCTATAGCAGGAAGGCAGCATTGGGTGGAAGGAGCACCGTGGGGTGGCGCTTTTGACAGTAGGAGTAGATGATTTTTTTACTTGTGTGTGTGCAGAAATGCATAAAAATGCATCCAGCTGCAGAACTTGGGCTCGTCCAAGTTTATTCGTCTTTCAAGGTGCGCAGGGAAGGGAGGCAGCCATGGGGCTGGTGTGGACGTGTGTCCTTGCGTGACTTGCTGCTTTATTTAATTCCCCTTTCCCCCAGTGTGTGTAATTTCCAGGAGCGTAAACACGTGCTAGGCGTGAGGAGAGAGGAGGAAAGGGGAAGGCTTCTCTGTGTTTAATTTTGTAGTTACTTTTATGCATAGTCAGACCCAGTAAACACCCTGTAGTTACAGAGGTCCAAATATAACCGTGTGGGTGGACAACTCCCTTCGCTGAGTAATTCCTTGCCTCTTTTTGCAGCAGTGTTTGGGCATTTGAACCATTCATGTTGGTGGTTGCTTTACCAGGGGTTACAGAGGCCTTTAAAAGTCTGAAAGTCCTAAAGTGATCTAGAGATGTTTTGGTTTGTAGAATGAAGTCCTTGAAGAGGAGAAAATATATAAATTTAGTAGGAAAGTGTCCAGAACATGAGGTTGTTCTGCCCACATACTGACCTTGAAGCTTGTGCCACTGAGAGTGCTGGACTTGAGGGGCTGCTCTGGTGGCCCACACGGTCAGAGAGCAGAGTTGAGGGCTGCCCCGCTCATTTCCGCAGCCCCTGGTGAGTGGTTTGGGAGCTGAGATGGGTTTGGGAAGTGGTTTAGGAGTGGTTTGGTGCACGTGGAGGGAACTGCCATCCTGACGAAGACAGGTTGTAGGGGAGAAGCGGCGTTTGTTCAGAGAGGTGGTGTGTCCACACTTCAAGCTCCCTTGGGCCACCTCGAGGGTTGAACTCGCGTCACCACACGAGGTTGGTAAATGGAAGTTACCCCAAAGAGCGCAGTAACATTGGCCCTGCTGAAGTCCATCTCCTGGACTTGCCGGAGAACCCCACATTATGCTGTGCCGGAGCTGCCGTTGGAAACCAACCACAGCTGGGAGGAGCAGCTGTAGGTGTTGGCTGTGGAGGTGACCCAGCAAGCTGATTTCCTCTGAAAAATTGTTTTTTTCACTGAAAAAGCGAGAGCCTTTCTCCATTTGGCCTTCCTGGAGCATCTCGGAAGCACAGGCTCACTGAAACAGGCAAAGCCCATGGACAAAGTCCCCTGCGTCCCCCTGCGTGGGAGCCCTGCGGTCCCGGGGCTGCTCTGCTCTTGGCTGTGTGTGGGCTGCCCACCACGTGGGAGAGCACCGGGGGGTCATTTATTCCACACTGATCCCTGAAGGAAACCGTAACAAAAACAGGAACTACACAGGCTAAATTGAGAACATATTCACTTTAAACTCTGGTTGATGTGAGTGCATGAACTTAAAGGGCATCAGCTGTTGGGCTCCTAATGGCGCAGCTGATACAAAGGCAGCTGCTGACCCGTGTGCGACTCTGGATGATTTAGTGGCCTCTCACCACCCACTGCAATCCCCTTCCCTTCCTGCTCCTTGCACTCCTGCTGTACGTGCTGGTCCCGAGGAAGGAGGCTTTGGAAGTTTGGGATTTTGGCCCCAATCCAGAAAAACACTTCTGCATGTGCTTAAACCTGGATCAGGGAGATATTCACTTGAATTTGAGCGGGCAAGTTTCAGAATAACACAAGGAAGTCATGAGTCTCTGGTTGCACCCGGCAGAGATGGGGTGCTGCACTTGAAGGACCAATGTTCTGCATCAGCCTGCTGATGCCTGTGGTCCCTTAGGTCCTGTTGACTTCAGTGAGAAATCAAATGTATTTACAGATTCCCTACAGCAAGTCTCTTGGAGCTCAGTAGTGAAGAAGGCAGCTTTCTTTCAGGACCAGCCATACCACATCTTTTTAATTTTAATGGGCAAATCCTAGGTTATACTGCGTTTACATTTTAAAAATGACTGCATGTTGTCCTAAAGTCACTGTTAACGCCATCAGGTTTCACGCTTGTGCTTGCGGAAAGGCCACGTGCACAAACAGCTGGAAGGATACGGCAGAAAGCGAGCGCGAGCCTTTCCTCCTAAACCCGTGTGGCAAGAGCACGGGGCAGAAGGTCTCATGTGGCTCGTGTCCCTTTGAAGTGGCTGGGTTCAGTACTGACGGGATGGCTTCCCTTATCTCCTCCCTTATCCCCGCTCCTTCAGAAAGGAGCAGGAAACATGCCTGTGATGTGGGACTCTTGCATTTCAAGCCTCGATCAGGTTGACAACTTTTTTTTTCCTCCCTTTCTAAAGCATTTAATCAACACTGCTAGTTGAAAGCAGGGAAACGCTCTACCCCGCTTTGATGGGTAGATGAAGCAGCTGTGTTTGGGCGCTGCGCCTGTGCGAGGGCACGGGGTGATCAGCTGCTCAGGAAGGTTACAGGCTGCCCATCTTTTCCGGTGTGGTTATATCCACATGGAATGCTTCGGCAACACCGGGCTTGCTCCTGGCACCGGTCTGCACCCAAAACGCGGTACCGTGAATACGAACAGTGGTGGGTGCTTCCCTGTGGCAGTCGCCATTTTGTGCTCCCTCCTCATCCATATGTGAGGCCCGACGGTGCCCTTGGGAAGGCAATGGAGCTGAAAAGTGCACGTGTTGTGTCCATCCTCTGGGCCAAGTGTGCCTCAGATGAGGCTTTGATCTGCCACACGTGGCCAGCCCCACCTGAGCCGTGCAGGGGACCTGGGAACAGCTGGCGGTGATTTTTAGGTCGGACGCATGCGAATGGCGCTCTTGATCTAGAGCTCAGTGCGCTGCTTTAAGGTTGACTTGTTTTGGGCAAGCTGTGCTTTGCTGGGAAGTTGTTATTATGGCTAACTGAAGCCCGGTTTAAAAAAAACCATATTTTTTCTTTTTGAGAAAATGTGGCTTCTGAACGCTGGAAGTTTCTAGAACCTCATTATAAAAGATGAAATATCTACTCTTGGGAAAATGAGCCCTTTGAGGAAAGCTGAGCATGGCACATACCAAACAGTGCTTGAGAAATCAGTCTGTATCCAGCACAGGAAGCAAAACTCCTCTAGGTGGCCGTAGTGAAGTGCGGTGTGCGGGTGCCAAAGGAGGGGAAGCAGCATTTCCAGCGCGCGCGTTCGGCTTGGCCCCGTGAGCGGGATGACGGGCCGGGCCTCGGCCCCACGCAGGAGGCACCTCCCCTGGAGCTGAGGTGGGAAAACTCCTTGGGCTTGGGCTTCTGATCTGTTCACCTTGAAGTCATGGGTTAGCAACATGTCCTGGCGTGGGAGAGGAGTGAGAGGAAGGTGGGAAGCGGCAGTTGTTTCTGGATAAGGAAAATCTATTTTCTGCATTTTAGACCTTGGTTGCTCCAGTTCTAAACCAGGGATGTAATCATGGCCTTGGAGAAAGCAATTTTACCACAGCAAAACCAGGGATAATGGTAATTATACCTCACAGGTATGTATAACAGTAACGTTTTGTTGCTTTCTCCTTTTCCCCCCGTGCAGGGACCCTGCAGCGGGATCGCATCTTCAAGAACCTCACGCGGAAGCGCCAGAGGGCCATGCGGAGACGTGTGCACCAGGTGAACGGGCACAAGTTCATGGCTACCTATCTGCGCCAGCCGACCTACTGCTCGCACTGCAGGGAGTTCATCTGGTAAGAGAGGCTCCACGGCAGCCCCACTGTCCCTTGGCACCGGTGGGACCCTCATGCTGCCGCCCATCCTGAATCACCCTGCCCCATTGAAATGCCTCCCCCCGCCAAGACAGGATTAGCGGGGTATATTTGCAGGCTGCTGTGTGCTGAACTGATGCCAAAGCTTGAGTGAAGTAATTCAGATGCTGGAAGCAAAGTGGGAGAGCATGGGGATGGTGCAACAATCCTTGCTTTTAAGCATAGATGTTATTTGAGGAATCTGAAGAAAGACTCCAAACGTTCACATGAGTGGGACTGTGAGATGACAATGACAAAATGAGCTTCTTAAAAGATGCAAGAAAATGCCTGAGAACAGAAAAGCCATCAGAGGTGTAAGGTGTGGGGACATGTATGCAGGGGAGTAGGCAGAGCATGGAGAAAACCTACATATGCCTCAAAAGAGGATCGAGTGGGGGAGGTAATAACAGGGCGTGGGTAATTGGGATCAGTCTCTGAGTGGTGTGTGTTGTAAGAGAATGAAGTAGTTTAGGAACCAGGATGATGGGGAATATGGGGAATAACATGTGAGCTACATGTGAGCCCTGTGAGCTACAGCCTTTGCTGTGCATGTTGACAGCCTGCCCTGTGAGCTACAGCCTTTGCTGTGCTCTTTTCCACTCACACACCCCTGTTCCCAATTGCACCATTTTTTCTGGGCAGTTTTTCCCCAGGGATCTGGTCAGTTGGGATCTTCTCACCTTGTGCTTCTTATTTTAGAAATGATCTGAAGATCATAAAGGCTGACTTTGTGATGTTAAATTATGTATTTTGTTTTGAACAGGGGTGTATTTGGGAAGCAGGGATATCAGTGCCAAGGTAAGGTGCTCCACTCCTGCTCAAATGTGCGTATAGGATGCACTGTTCTTGCAGTGCATCTCCATGCTGCTTGGATGTCCTGGGGTTACAAGCTTCTCCTTAGTTTCCATTCATCTTCCTCCCACAGCCAACCAAAATTGAGCTCTGTAGCAGCTGGCAGGCTGGTGGCTTGCATGCATGCAGGAGCAATCATCTACGTCATGACAACACCTAGCTCTGGTTGCAATGTTCCACCCACAGTTTTGCTTCTGTGTAGATCCAGTGGGTTGTTGAGTATGAACAACTCCCAGCAAGGCTTGAGCGATCACCACGACACTGCCCAGCTGGGACACTCTGTAGGCTACTTGAGCGGCCCTTCTTTCTCTTTCTATGTAGTTAAGCAAAGTCAAATTAAGGATGTGACTTCGAAAGACAGCTCAGCCTTTTAATACAGCCTGTTTCTTGTGCAATATAGTAGGGCACTAGTGCCTTCATATGCAAGGAGGCCTCATAGGAGCAATTCAGATATATTGTAAAACATCTCTGGGGGAAAGTAAATGTTTTTGGTAGACCCTTATGAGCAGAAGCTTGAGTCTGCAAGGAACAGAATAACATAGGAATCCACAACACATCCGCAAGTTTTCAATCCAAAAATCTCCTTGCACAGGAAGTAGTGGTGGCCCTTGGTGATGTCTGTCCACTGGGAAGGAGAGTGGGGGAATCCAAGCTCGTTCCAGCCAAGGCAGCCGTAGAGCTGGAGACAGCACAGCTTTGCTATAGGGCTGATTAGTCTCCTGATGGAGACCAGCCGATCAGCCTCGACACGGTGCTGTTCTGCTGCCGTTATCCAGCCTCCCAGATCCGAGCTTTGCGCTGAGCCATAACGATAGACCAGCCTGGGCCAGGCTTGCTTGGGTGTCCTCAGCAAGACGTGAGACTCCACTGAGAGGAGTCGATGGCTTTTTATGTCCCAGACTTGTGTCCTCTAGTACTGCTTGTGTATAATGTGTGAAATACTCTCTGCTGCGTAATTTCAAAAGCAATTTTAAGTTAACTTATGAAGTTAACATGCTGTTTTTGTGTGCATCCCCCATATTTTATATAGATAGCTATTTTCCAGGCAATATAAATGATCTGGTGCAGAATTTTAGTTGCAACAAGTGGAGATATGTCTCTAGATTTGTTAGGAGATTGGAAATGCTGGATTTCCTGTTGTGAAAGGATCAGGGTAGCTTTAGCATTTCCTATCTTTACTGTGCCCTGATGATGTAGCTGAGCCTTAAAGAACCCATCTGATGGTTTGATGTGTTTTGAGTCTTTCAACAGCTCTTTTCAGCATGCCTCTCTTATTTCCTAGTATGCACCTGTGTTGTACACAAGCGCTGCCATCATCTAATTGTTACAGCTTGCACATGCCAAAACAATACTAACAAGACAGACCTCAAGGTAAAGTCACATTAGTTATTTTAAATCATCCGAATTCATGAATCTTTAGGGTGGTATGGGTTCGCAGGGGCTGTCTCATAATAAATTTACTCTTCTTTGTGTTAATCATCATTCATAGATTTAAAAGTGAGGGATAGGAACATGTGTCATACAGACCATGCAGTATCAATCTGGCTGCTCCTCTGTTAATTACACTCATTGGTTGGAATAGCCACATAGTTTATAAAGGCACAGTGTCTTCATCTGAAATAATCGACAATAGCAAATCCACTGTTTTCTGTAGTAATTTGCTTTCATGGTTAACTGTGTCATTTTCAGACAAAAAAACATGGCACCTGATCATTGATTTGATTTTTTTTTTCTGGTTTTAAAATCCAACTACTGGACCTTGTTATGCCCCTTTTTTTTTATTATTCTTGTGGGTTAAAGTGCCATTTTAGTCCTCTTTCACACCTTGACTCTATGAAATTACTTTGTATCAAAGAAACCTGTGGATAACTGGCGTTTCCAAAGGTTTTCTTTCCTGTTAGTTTTGGCTGTATTTGACACAAGTAACATCCTCATCAGAACCTAAAATCTGTGCTGTGCATTGCATGTCTCATTATCTCTTCTGAATAGCAGAAATAACTGAGCAAAATTCAAGCAAAGAATTCAGCTATGAGTAACTCTCTGTTGTATCCCATGCAAAAATCTTTCCAGTACATACGAGCAATTGCATTTGCTCATGCATTTGTTTTGCATTTTCCATGCAAAACTCTAGTTCTAGATCTCTTAAGGTATTATGAAGGGATTATAAAATGTCTAAGCTACTTAAAAGAAAAAAAAAAGAATAATAAAAAAGCATGAAGTTACTTTAAACTCATTGTTTAGCACCTCTGTCCTTTCTTTCAGCTATGGATTTGCCTGTCAGTTTTCTAGAATATGCATGTTGAGGCACAAAATAGAAAGCATTGAAGAGGTTAACTAGAACGGGTGCTTCAGCTGACGTAACATTTTCTAAAGTGTATTTGGGATCTGAATGATTCACAGTTGGAAAAGAACAAGGTTAAAAAGGGGATGAGAGCAAGTGATAAAGCTAAATGTGGACCTGAGATGAAAGGCTGTTTAATAACAAGGAGCGTGAAAAAAGGAATGAGGAGGAGCTGGGAGAAAAGTATATATGTTAAATGCAATAAAATCAGAAATTTGTCATAAAAGCAATCTGGTTGCACATGGTATGTAAATAGTAATTTGAAAACTAGTTAGTTACAAAATTCTGTACGTAGCAGAATTTATATTTGGCACTTAAATGAGATAGGTCCATGATAAGGTAATCCATGCTGCATAAGTCAAAGTTTGTTTTCTAGAACCTGGAATTAGCTAAGTAGCCCTTTTTAAAAATCTGCTTGGTCAGGTTTTCCAGCCTGTCCAGCAAGTGAACCAGAGCAGACTTGCAGGAGATGAGATTTGTCAGTGAACGGTCACCAGAAGGGAATAGCAGTGGATATTCCTTGCTTTGCAGTTAAATGTGTGTAAATGAATGGGAATTTCTGCATGCATTTCCTTGTGTAAATCGGTGCGTTTCTTCAGGTGCCTCAGGTGACTGAGCAGAGGTTTGGAATCAACATTCCTCACAAGTTCAGCGTGCACAACTACAAAGTCCCCACGTTCTGCGACCACTGCGGCTCCTTGCTCTGGGGGATCATGCGGCAGGGCCTGCAGTGCAAAAGTGAGCAGTTTCTTACTATAGCCTTTCAACAAAAGACATATATTTTTAGACTTTTGATGCACTGTGTGGGTTTGAGCCCTGTAACCACTAAGAGAAGGCCAAGTGATGAATATTCATCTTGCAAGAGTTGCAAAAAATGTTGATCTATTCTTTATCTCAGGCTTCAGAAGGGACTTTTGCTGCTATTTCCATCACAATTTTGCTTTGCTTGGTATTGCTGAAAATACACCTGGGTGTTGGAATTGTCTGTATTAATTTTTCTCTTAAGCTGAGGACTTTTCCTCAGCTAATGAGATAAGGCAACAAAAAGTCATCCAAGGGGGTAAAATAAAAGGCATTGCTCTGGGGTGACTAACCTGCCTGCCATGCTGTTAATGATGACCAAGCATGTCGTGGTGCTCTGCTTTTGTCTCCGTGATGCAGATGGGAAATCACGTGGGTATCAAACTGTCTCCACTTGCTTTTGTCTCCCACAAGAGGGTGCGTGTGTGTCTGAGAGCAGCAGATCTTCTTTTCCCACCGAATCATGCGGGTCTAAAATTAGTAGCCGTGCATGCGAGGGGAGCGTGTTGCTAATTCTGCCGCATTATAAAGCCAAATGGTACCTGCAGGCCTAGCTGCAACGGTACTTGTGTACCTGGCAATGTGACTTGTGCGTGGGAATAGTCTCGAGTGACTCAGGCCACCTGTGGAGTTGGGATAAACTCACCTGATTTCCAGCAGTTTATTCTCATATAGGTGTCCCAGTCTTGTCTCTACTGAGGGCAATTATCCCTTTAGTTCAAAGACACAGGGTGGAGTCAGAGGGGTGAGAGTCAATAAATGCCTCCAAGTTGTTCAAAGTGTTCAACTGCTTTAATTTTCCACCCCTTGCCAACCACCCCCTCCAGTCTGCAAAATGAACGTCCACATCCGATGTCAAGCCAACGTTGCACCCAACTGCGGGGTGAACGCGGCAGAGCTTGCGAAAACCTTGGCGTGCATGGGCCTGCAGCCGGGGAGCATTTCCCCAAATTCGGTGAGTCATCTTTCCCCTTTAACCTTTTTTATTCTCGTCCTGTCTTTTGAAGCTTCTGCAGGGGAGTCCATTGACATGAGTGCAGTCAGGGTGGGAGGCGCTGGGCAGGAGGCTGCAGCAGCTGGCCCTGGCTGTCTGTGACTCCTGGCGAATCCCTCTCTTGGAGAACAAATATCTGGTATCCAGTTTGACCCTGGTGGAAGCCTCCGTCTCTACAGATTAACCTGTTTTCTGCCTATGTGTTGTGGTGGTGCAGCTCCACTGACCCCTATCTGCTTGGCATAAATAAAAGGAGAATCAGACACCAAAATAGTTAATGGTCGATATAGCTCAAGCCTCCATTCTTCCCTCAAAACAAATGCTCTTTCTGCATACATGGCCCAGGGCCAGGGCTCACAATTCTGTGCTTAGTCTTTAACAGCCTCTTAATATTTGTGAGCTTACGACTTTACTTACCTGATCAGAACGTGCCGTGAGCTTAAACTGGCCTTGAGTTTTGTCAGGTTTCTGGGTGTTTTTGGTTCTCCCCACCTGACTGTAAAAAGTCTTCCTGTGCAGGCGGGAATTTTGCTTTACACCAAAATGGTCACAAGGTGGAGCTCAAGAAAGCTCTGTGGCTGTTCAGAGTAATAAACTGAACAAAAGTACTAGGCGCACTCGTATGCTGAGAGCTGGGCACAGAAAGCCCTGGAGATTGACTTAATCTTACTATTAATCTGTATAATCTTACTACTGCAAAAACAGGTACTCCAGAAATGCCTGTGTCTAATACTAGCAGAATTCCTGAAAACACAGAGACATCTCATTGCAGGTGTGGGAATTAACAGCCCTCCTTCGCATTTGCAGTGGTGAAGGAAGTCCAGCTGTAGGAAGAGAAAAATGCCGTGTAGCTTGGATCCCACTGAGCTCTGTGGAGCTTGACCAAGAGTCTTAAAATCACATATAGAATAAAGAGGATCACATGATCCAGCCTGTTTGGAGTCTAGATCTCACCAGCACTTCTCACATTGCAGAAATGCTGTATTCCTCCTTGTTCTGAAATCACATGGAAAACTTGCTGATTTTCTTATTTATTGCCTTAATTTTCCAAGGAAGAAATGTGGGAAAGGGCAGTTTTGCTTCTTGGATCTGCTGGGCAGTGGGTACACTTAACATGCTCAGGACAGGAGCTAGTGTTGGTATCTCAGCATGGTTCTGCATAGTGATGTGGTTTGCTGGTCACACACAGCAACTACGGGATCCTGGTTGTACCTGTGGTTTTTCTGTTCCTGTGGCCATACAGGGCATCTTAACAGTGCCTAAATGCCCCAGCTGGTGGGCTGGCTCCTTGTGGCCACCTCTGCAAATCTGGGCATGGTGCAGTTTCAGTGCAGACTGGTAGTTCTTTATTTTCCTCTGCAGAAACTGGTTTCAAGATCATCTTTGAGACATCAGGGCAAAGGCAGCCTAAAGGATGGCAACAACGTCAGTGAAAGTTCAGCGAGCAAACTTGGCATCAAAGACATGACCTTCCTCCGCGTGTTGGGAAAGGGCAGTTTTGGAAAGGTGAGCATTACATGCCTCTCTTAAGGGGAATACTCCATTAATTTAGAAGATACTAAGGTATGTGATGTTATTCCATAATGTGGTACACGAGCTATCCTGAGTGAGGGGATATCTTAGTATAGAGAGGCTTGTTAGTGAGAGGAGGGAAGGGAGGAGACAGAAAGCTGAAAGCAAAGCAAACTGGATATCACAAAAGTGCAGTGATCCAGAGAAGAGCTGCATGTCAGGGCCCATAGCATAACTTGCAAGTGTATGTGTTATCACCCGTTTGGGCAGCATTTCTTGGAAAATTTAGAAATGTTTCCTTTAAAGGAAACAAGACAGTGATTTCTCATTCAGGGAGGTGTGCGTGGGGGCTCATTTCTCTGCTTTGCTTCAAAGTTAGTGAGATGGTGCATTTGCAATGGATAAGTGAAGAGAGAAGTAGAAAGAGTTGCGGGGCAGAATTTGTGCCAGCAGTGGATGAACTTTGCCCAGCTAGTCCTGCCGTGTGCGTGGGCACTGCTGGCTGCAGAAGCAGTGTGTGTGGCATGGACCACGCTCTGCTTCCCGTGCTGGAGGGCTGAGTCACTCTCAGACCTGCCCCTGAGGTCACTCTCTAGTGTGAGAAGGTGCAGGAAGCTCTGCTGCCTGCAGGAGGCTCAGCCCCTGCCATTTGTCACCCTCCTTTCGCGTAGGTGATGCTTGCCAAGATGAAAGAGAGCGGGCAGCTCTACGCGGTGAAGGTGCTCAAGAAGGACGTCATTCTTCAAGACGACGACGTCGAATGCACCATGACGGAGAAGCGCATCCTGTCCTTAGCGAGGAACCACCCGTTCCTTACCAAGCTCTACTGCTGCTTCCAGACTCCTGTAAGTACAGCAGGGTTGGCTGGACGCTGCACAGCCTGATGTGTTCAACACAGAGGCACTCGCCCGTGTACTTGTCCCCCTTCACAGAGACACCTCCGTAGACCTGGGAGACAGCTCTGCTCATGGGTGGGCAAACCCTCTGCTCGCATCTGCTGATGCACGGACATTTGTCAAACAAAATTCTGGCTTGTTCTAAGCTTCCAGACAAAATGGTAGTAAAAGGAAGACTTTCTTTTTTGTGTGGTCTTCCTTAGAAGCAGTCAGTGTTTCTGAAGGCATAGATACAAATGCCTACAAACCTGCAGTGTCTTCCAGTTAAGGTGGTCCTGGGCCTCAGTGTCCTGCTGGATGAACTGCATTCATGTGTTATCTGCAAACTCCATGTGTTTAAGATGAGAAGCAGCCTCCTGTCCCTACCCAGTCTTTGGGTGCTGCTCGGGACGCTAGGGATATGAATTAACATCTACCTGGGGATACTGAAAAGGATTTTTCAGATATAAATGGACCCTGATTCAGACTGCTGAGGTACAAGAAATATATAATAATTCAAAAATATATATGCTGATATGTAAGAAATGCAGGTGGCATTATTATGTGAATAAGTGACATTGCTGCCACTTGTACAGTCAGGAACACATATCACACCCCCAGAGCCCAGCCTGGAGCCTGTCCTTGTGTGTGCACGTGGGTGTTGCTGGTGGGGATGGTGGAGGGTGGCTCTGATGGAGGCCACGGTAGTATCTGAGTGCAGTAAGTTTGGGTGTCCTTGAGCTGTTCTTAAGACCAAAGCACCTTCTGCAGTGTAGTGCTCCAATATTGTCCACACTCCTGTTGCTTTTTATCCATTGCTGAATGCTAATAGAGCTTGCATATAGAGGAGGCCGGAGAAACTTGTCCTTTAATTGTGGCTTCCATCCTCCTTCACGAACCACAAGCCCTCAAAGAGCGGCAGCCAAATGCATCCTGCCACCCACCTGTTTCACTTCTCACTGGGGTGATGCAACATGAGCCACAGAGTTCAAGAATGATGCTCATCTAGGGCAGACTCACGTCACAGACATCAGTTTTTTGGGTTTTGTTTTTTGCTTTCTGCCTTTTTTTCTTTTTTGGTGTACAGCTTCTGTGGTTCGTAGAGCAGCAGTGCTGTAGGTCAGAAACAAAACTTAAATTTTGCTGTTGTCACTTGGAAAATCCCTTTGGTTTCGTAACATCAAGACACAAGGCTCAAATTTTAATAGACTTATTGAAGATTTAATGTAAAATTTCCGGACTGTCCAGTACTGTATGGTGTTTGAGCTTAAACCAAGGACAGCAGCATTTTCTGCCTATTAATGCTCTGTTCATTACCATGGTTTTATTTACCAAACTGCAATGTAGATGTGAAAATAGCAAATGTGCTCCTGGGCTGTATAGAGTATTTTCAGGGTAGTTAGAGAAGACTTAAGGTCACTGTACCAGTGCTTTTGTGTTCAAAAATAAATGCAGTTTCCTAAGGGTACAGAGAATATTTTCTGGGCTGATGAGGTAATTGAGTCTTTTGCAAAAGAAAAAAAAAAAAAAAAGAACAGGAAGAACTTAGCCTGTTTAGACTGGCAAATCGAAAGCAAAAAGAGGATCTAATTGATGTCAAACACTGAGGAGGGAACACAGCTGTCAACATGCTAGGTAAGATTAAATGAGTCTAGACTGGCTATGGATACAGTTCGACTGGAAATGAAAAGGAGGTTGTTAAGCAGTAAAACAGTCCAGGACAGGAATTTCTAGAACAGGTTCTCGTCAGAGGAGGCAAAAACCCCAGCCCGTGCGTGGCCAGTCTCCGGAGGGGAGCTGTGCTTGCAGTGACCAGACCCTGCTCAGGTACAGCCTTTTCCAGGTTCCTCTTATTCTCTGCATCTCACGTTGCTTCATTAGCTGGACTGTCAGCAGCAGAAAACATCTTCTGGCCAATAATAAAACCGAAAATGAGAGGCATTTGCAAAAGGAGGAATCAGTTTGAGACTAATGTGGTTCCTGGTGTCTTTTGTCCACCTTCTGCGTTCAGTGACACCACCTCAATCCAGAATAACCAGATTTCAGTTGCTTATAAAAGCATAATTAAATCCTTCTGCTATAAGAGAAGAATGATTGCAACAGTTGGATATTTGCTGGACAGAGCCCTCCTAGGAGGGTTTAATTGGTAGTACTGATAGAGTTAACCTAGGCTTTATGTTCTTTTTTTACATGACATTGGGTTGTCCCCTTTGTTAACACTGCTTTGGGAGAAAACAACAGATATGTATATATGGTACTTTATATATACACGTATATATTAGTTCTTTGTTAATAAAGGAGTAACTACTACTCAGAATGTCATCCTGCGGCCATATTTAAAATAGGAAAGCACTTTCTTCTTTGGGGTTGCGGGGAGGTTTATACAAAACAGTATCTAGTTTCACTTTCAATTGCATGGTCCTGACATCACCCACATATCACAGCGCAAGCTCTGGAAATGTGACATGAGCAGCCTCATTATGAGTATGAGCGAGCAGCCCAGTCTCGTTGTGACTGAGGTTAACTACGTCCTGGGCTGTTTTAGAAGGTCAGGGGCTGTCAGTGAGTCATGAGCCCCTGTGCTCCACACTGCCAGAGTGTGGTTGTCCAGTGCTCCCCTCTGTTTCAGAAGGAGACTGGGGGGGACTGAAAAAGGGGAGACTTTGGAAGTGTCTGAAATACTGCAGTGCTCAGAAGAGCTTAGACTCAGTAAAGGGGAGACTTTGGAAGTGTCTGAAATACACTCAGAAGGCAGGAGATCAAAGGTGTTTTGAGGAGTTGGATGGGTCAAGGTCTGATTGAATCCGAACTCCTATATAATATTCTACTCTAACCAACAAACTGCTCTGACTTAGACTGCTCAGGGCTGACTTAGACACGGCTGTGCTGCGTGCTGCTGTGTTGCTGTGAGCTGGTATGAGTGCCAGGAGCAGCAATGTGTTGCTCGAGTTGATCCACGTTGCTGCTGCTTTTGCTTAGGGCCAGCGGAGGTTCTTCCACACCCGCATCAGGTGCTGATCGTTCTCAGAAAGGTCCCTGCTCTCTCGTGCTGCTTCCGTGCAGCACCCCTGTTCTGTGTGGGCCTAACTGAGTCTCAGCCCATCCTGGGCCGAGGCTGCCCGAGTTCAACACAGCCTTTTCGCTGCCTCACGGAGAGATATTGCAGCCACTAGGTGGTAGGAGCTACAAATGTTGTTCTCTTGCCTGGTAGGTCGCAGTCTTTACAGCCTAAGAGGAGCTATCAGCAGCCTGGCAAGCGGGCTGAGGCTGGAGATGGCCCTGGGCAGAGCAGCACCCAGCACTGATGGGAGGGGAGCAGCTTCTGAGACCTGCACCTCCACATACCTGTCCTGCAAGGGAAGGAGCGTGCACTTCCCTTGCAGGGCTGAATTGAAGTCAAGTTGTAGCTCTGCCTTGCCCACCACAAGCTGACACATATTTCAGCTTTTTTTTCTAAAGCATATCTTGTTTGGGGTACTTTCAGCCTTGCCTAAGCCATTTACCTCTGCTTTTTCTAGGGCTTGAGACTCATCCTCTAGTGTCAGAGGGGATTATGCTTGTGCTGCAGTAATCTGTGAGTTGCTGACAGGTGCTGGGGCTGACCTGCGAATAATCCTGGATTCTGCGTTTGGGGTCACAGGCACCAAAAAATGCTTGTTTCTGTTTACCTGGCATTGGTGTCACCCAACACCTCCACAATACAGTCCTGGAGCGGCTGTAAGTGGCTGCATGTGCAAATAGCCAAGTCAGTAACTTAATCCTGGGGAATGTAGATTGTGGAATGTTTTAATTAAAATGAGTTTAAATAAGTAGATCCCTTGTTCCTTGGGGTTTAGGAGCCATCCTTCCTGCACAGGTGGTTTGCCTTTGAAATCCTTTTGTCCTGACTCCCATGCATGAGAATGAGAGAGGCTGAGGGAGATCAGCTTCCCATGCAAATAGTGTGGAATGGCAATGCTGAGAGGTTTCTGCATTTTATGTTTATTGCCCTTTTCCTCCTCGCCACTACAGGGTGCTTTCAGGGGACTGTCCCCCAGGCAGTGCTGTTTCCAGCACTGTCCCTGTTAGCCTGATCATTATATGGATTCGCTTCCCATGCTGACAACTGCCGAGGCGCAGAGCCCGTGTGTGTCATTCCAAAAATAGTGAGACATGAAAACTTGGCAGAGGGACATGATTTTCTGTAACGAGCGTCCTTCAGAGATAATAGCTCGCAGGGTTGCTGCTGGAGCAAGGGGGCCCAGGGATTCCAGGGCAGCTAATCACCAAACTGGTACCATTTTATGAGCCCAGGCTGCTCTGTCAGGGATGCAGGTTTCTGCCCCTTTAAAAGCTGCAGGCTAATGCCACCTCCCTGACGCAGAAGGGAAAGGTCACTCTGTCACCTCTGCTGGCTTCCAGGGCACTCGCAACAGGTCTGTGGTCAATGTGGTCATCGGGTCAGAGAGCTCCCAGGTGCTTAGGGAGATCTCCTGATCTCGCTGACCCTGCTTGAGCAGGGTGGATTGGACTCGATGATCCACCTTCCAGCTCCAGCTTCCAGAGGTGCCTTCCAGCCTCATCCGTGCTGTGGCTCTGAGCTGGCTCTGCGTTTCACCTCGCAGAAGTGCTTGAGCCACCTGGAGCACAGTTTTGCAAACGTGAGCCCCCAAATGACCAACAGAAGTGGTAGGACTGAGCAATAGCAGCTGGCTGATAGCTCTGCTGTCCCCAAGAGGGGTCTAGCCGTGCTCCTGTGTCACGGGCAGCCCTTGGTCACACTCCCTGGTGGATCTCCAGGATCATCCTGCTTGTCCACCAGCTGCCCCCGTTATGAAACAGGCAGAGGGTGCAAGGCAGCTCAGGGCAGAGCCCTGCACGGCGGTGATAGGGAAGTGCAGAAAGGGAGTGCAGCCTTCCCGGGGGTCTGGTTGGATGAGCAAATATCCTGACACAGTCCAGGGAGCATCCTGGGGGGAGATAAGGAAGTT